TGTGTGTGTGTGTGTGTGTGTGTGTGTGTGTGTGTGTGTGTGTGTGTTTTGTATGAATGTTAGCTCGGGGGACTTTGTTGCTGCGTTCAGGTACAGCAGTTCATTTGAGTTCTTGGTCCAGATGAGAACACTGTAAATGTAAACTCCTGCTTCGTTTAGTTCATGTTTGTTGACATGATCTTGGTCTCGTGTGTGATGGTCTGCAGACTGGAGCAGGTGGAAACACTGGAAGTCCGATTACACACACTGTTCTGCAGCGAGCAGCTTCTGTCAGCTCTTCGTGCTTTTTACTCATCAGAACAGAAGAATGTCTTTTTTTATGCTTAGTCTAAAAAAAATCCACTTATTTCTTTTGGAGTTGAATTGGTTTTGTCTACCTCAGGTTGGCAGAGAAAAAGCACTATTTCTAAACTTTGAGGCAACGCAGATTTACAGCGCTGTGCAAAAGTCTTGGGTTATGCCCTATTTTCTTATTTTTGCTTCAGAGGAGCCAGACTTTGTAATCATTTAATGTGATCTTTATCAATATGTCAAATAACTCAACGTGTTGTCTCAACAGCTCACAAAAACAACCCCTTTAAAAAAAAAGGTCTGACATTTCTTTGAAAGAATGCACATCACCTGTCCCTTTATATCAGAGATTAAGATTAGATTAAGAGCATCGTATGATGAAAACAACGGTTAAACCTTGAAAATAACATTCATTATTTTTATTAAGTCGGAGTGTGTTGCGATTGACTCAGCTACTGCCACATCAAATGTTGGCTCAGTATCTGTAAAACTGACTGAATTATAGACACTTTTGTGTTAGCTGAGATTAATTAGCCGAAGCCATCTTAAAGATCATAAAAAGTTGCTTTTTGGAAGCAAAATGTAAATAAATCAGGGCTGGTTTAAAACTTTTGCACAGCGCTGTAGGATTTCTGACTGTTCCTGAACTCCAGATGAACGATTTGCACCTTAATGTGTTCGGGGCTCACCTTCGGCTCGTCCTGCTCTTTATTCCGACGGCTGTCGGCGGTCTTTGTGAATGTTCGGCTGTGGACGCAGACGTGACGACAGTGAACCTGCGTTTGGATTTGTCGGCGTCTTAACTCGTTTTCATGTCATGATTTGACCGCAGGCGTGCACGCGCTGAGACGCAGCTCCGTTTGTGTTGCTGTCGTTCACGTGCACGCCGATCTGACGGTCTCGTGCCTCCTTCCTCCACGTTGGGCCGGAGGCCGGGGTTCTGCTCGTCCTGCAGTCAGTGTGGCTTCAGCTGAGCTGAAGGTGGGAGTTTATGCTCACATGCACCAGTTGATTTTCTTACTCATTGTCATTGCAAATTTAAATAAAAATCTACAGTATGTTTCTAGATTTTTGTCTTATGCCTTCATTTCTACACATACCAGGAACACCGTCTGTAGTTTTCAGGATTAATGGTTGAATTCCTGTATTTCAAATTTCTCTCGGGTTGGGAGTTGAATTTTTAGGGTGCAGAATAAACTTTGAGCCTCGGAGGTCCTGCAAACTCCCACCATGAGTTTTTAGGGTTCAGTCAGTTTTTTAAAGATGTTTCAGAAACAACCGGAGCACATTCAGCTCCACCACTTGGCTGCGTAACCGTTTTGTTATAACAGAACTTCTACTTTTCAGTTTTAGAGCAACAAAAATATAAACTTTTATTCTTCTTGCTTAATGTAAGATACAATCTGCTTAGCAGTAATTTTTTTTTTGGTCAGAGGAGCCAGATGAAATGAAGGAAAAGGTAGTTTTGAAAAATACATATTTGCACATCCAAAGCCTTCATAAATCACTCAGCATTATTTCAGCCTTCAGAGGTTTTATTTTATGCAGCTGCGTCAACTGTCAAAATAAAATTCAGGTGTTCATTTTGAAGTCGAAGTGTGCAGGCTGTCTGGTATTAGAGCAATAATTAGACATTAAAGTGACTAAATGCTTCTAGTTTAATCAGATATCCTGTTTTAACGGGTTATTCTTCTGTTCATGTGAGCACATCCTAACACCAGGGGGTGATCATGTAACGGTTTAAGCTCCAAGAGACAAATATTTTGATCTCAGTTGTTCAGGACCTAAATGTAATATAGAAGCCCATTTCTGCCACTAACATTTGTCCTAAATTTGAAATAATGCAATAAGTATGGTGTGTCCTGAGGCAGACTGATGACCTCATGAGGTGCCAAGTCGGCTTTGAGACGTGATCCATTAAATCAAAACTTGTTCAAAATAAATGAAGCAGTCTCCAATTCCTGGGATTTAAAACTACATTTTGATATTCAGAACATCAAGGTTCCTATATTTTCTGTATTCTAATGAGGATTTCATGATGTCGTTTGAAAGAGGAAACCTCAAACTTTAGTGAGATCAGGATTTCTCAGCAGGAAGAAAAAAAGCTCAGCGTAGAGGAAAGCAAAATATTTAAGGCTTTTCTGCTCAAAATCTTTGTTGGTGTTGCTCATAAAAGTGCTTCAAAGCATCTTTAAGACATTTTTGAAAGTTCATTCAAATGACCCATAGATTCATCATTTGGACTAAACCTAACTCCAGCTGTTCCAACCACAGATGTTAATTTTGGCTGCTTGATGTGACGGGTCACGTTGGCTCATTTAGTTGGAGCCTTTCATGTTGTATCCAGCAGGTGAAGTTGTGTTAAATTTACTTTTCAGCTTCTTTCACAACTTGTACGAGTATCACTGAAAGCGACTCGACTCTGTCAAGATTTATAAAATGGATCAGGGGGACAAAAGGAATTAAAAAAAATAAAAAAACTTCTACATAACCAGAATTTTATTGTACACTAATGCGGCATCTGCACATATCCATTTTATAAAATAGTCCCAGTGCTGGAGGAGCCGCTCAGACTTCAGCAGGCGGCGACGCGCACGCCGACGGGTTCTGATGGGTCAAATCTGCGAGGACTCCAACCATGAGGAGGTGCTCTTCAGCCGCGGCTGCTGAGAGTCCAGCTTCAGCAGCGCCGACGCTGCACCTTCCATCTTTGATAACCACTCTCTCTGGAGAAAGAAGAGCACGTGAAAGAGTTCAGAAGCAGAAATATCACACGGCAAAGATGAGACGATAAAAGTTGTAGGAAATTATAATTCAGCTTTCCATAAACTAGTGTTTTCTAAAGATGCACATTTAAACACAAAGCTTACACTCAAACATTAAGGTTGTCAAAGTTAATCTAAATTAAGTCAATTATTGCACACAAATACCGAACTGAAAAATGCCTGAATTAAAAAAAAAAATTTAAGCCTTCAAGTCTCGTTTTAGGGTGCAGTGAGTGAATGACCCACCACTTTAGACAAAAACTGATCTGCGACTTTATTTCCCAAAAACTGATGTGAAAGGTTCAAACGTGTGTGTCCTGATATCATTTTACAGGTTGACGCGTTGGGACGATCAGTGTCAGCGCTCACTGAACCGCACGGCTCCTGTCAGAACTTCAGGGTTGAAGTGATCTACCTTGGCAGCCTCTGACGCAGCTTGCAGGATGAACGCACCGATACACTGTTGGTAGCGGTTGTGGTGCATTATGATGAACGAGTGAGGCAGCCCCGACGCTGCGAAGAGACCAGAAAATTATTTGATCGGCACGCAACAACAAATATATGCTTCACACAACAGAGCTGGAAACAAAAGTTGCATTTACTGGAGGCGTTGAGCTGATCGATGTTCTTTAGCTGGAGTCGGTCCAGAGAGATGGGCTGGTCCAGAACTGTGAAGGTGCACCCCTCTTTCAGCAGCTGATCCAGCTCCAGGTTCTGCTGCAGTCTCAGAGAGTTCTGCTCAGAACTGGTGGACCTCTGCACAGAAAACCAGAGCTAAGAGCCCGACTTTCCACCACGAGTCCCGATGAGCGCGAGGACAGAGCAAGACGGAGGCAAACCTTTTTGTTTCTCTTTATCTTTGTGATCAGCAGGAATTCGTCGAACAGGAACAGATAAACATCGATCAGCTTTGTGTTCTCTGGAAACGAACCCGAAAAGAAACCGTGTGAGATTTTGTTCAAACTGAAGCACGGAGTGTGTAAAATGTACTGGGTTTGTGCCAGACACCTGTGAGCACCAGTTTCCCTTCGTGCAGCAGACTTCGGTGAGAGATGAGGTTCTCCAGAGTCACGGCCTTCAGGAGATGCTTCAGGTTCTGGAACGGTTCGTTGAAATGTAATAATACATCGGTGACTAATGCTTTACACAAAAACACAAATGTTTACATGTAACCAAACGTGTAAACTAGTCAAACCTCAGGGACGAAGGCGCGCTTCTCTCTCTCCCACACAGGCAGCCACACCAGCGCATCCCTCAACTGCTTCAGCTTCCTGTAGTTATCCAGCCATTTGACTTTTCCCTCCAAATCACCTGAAACACACCACACTCCGCTGACTTGGTACGAAAAGGACAGATTTCTGTCACACGCTGGCTGTTTAACAACACTGTTTTAAAAGAACAGGAATCTCATGAATCAGAACGGTTTATTTAAAATTTAATGTTCAACTTTTGTTTCATATTTTTATTTTGTTATTTAATTTCTCACTAAATTTAATTTATGCAGTGCAAGCTGCCTGTAAAAGACAAAAATCAAAGTCGGCGAACAAACCTCACTATTTATCCACAAATACTGATTAAATTACACAAAAGAGATAAAACCTCAGAGTCTGGAATCTGCTGTACTTTCAGGTCTTTTGCATCAATTGCAGGACACATTTATTAAAATAACATAGCAAATATAGAGCAAAACTTAAAAATTTGCAACAAAAAAAAGAAAAGTTTTAGTTAAGAAATAATTCTCTGAAAGTTTTAATCCGTTTTCACACTCTGCTCTGCTTTTTACAGAAGTCCCTCGCTACTTCGCGGTTCGACTTTCTCAGACTCGCTCTTTCGCGATTTTTCAAAGTCAGATTGAACACGAGGGAAAAAATATATACACGACACGTGACTGTCGACTTTAATATTACTCACGTGATTAGGACAGTATTGGATACTGTACAATAAAAAAATAACCAAAAAGTAAAATACTTCATGCAGGCGCTGCCATTTTGTAGTTCTCTCTCAATAGACCTATACTGTATCGCCACATACAAGTAGTTCATAAGGACTACATTTCCCAGAAGCCAACAGTACCCCACCCAGAAGCCCCGTTTCCTTCTGCTGAAATGCACAGAGGGAAAGTCTTAATCTGATCGGAAAAAGTTTGGTCCTTTAAAGTGACTTTGGGGCCCAGCGGATGCAGAGAGCCATATGGAACCCACTGGGAACCAGACCAAAACCAAAGCAGAACCAGACCCCCAGACCAATCGGCGAACCCGAGAGGTGCTAGCCGGCCCACGAGGACTTCCAAGCACTGTCGTAGGTCCAGCGCAACTCTGGAACCCACTGGGACTTTTTCCATCTTTATTGGACCACTCAATTGGACCACCGGTCCCGAGCTGGCCACCCAAAGGCGTAAAGTGCCCCTTCAAGTGCGCTTCGGTGCTCAAGGGCTACACAGAACCGGACCCCCAGACTCTGGATAGCCAGCCCACAAGGACTTCAGAGCAGGGATGCGCCCCTGTAGGTCCAGCTTCTCTCTGGAGCCCACCGCCACTATCCCGAGCCAGAGAGCCAACCAGAACCAGCAGGGTCAGTCCACTGACGTGGAACCAAGCCGGAGCAGAACCGAGCAGCTGAGTAAAATTTAGTGGCTACATACAAGTATGTTGTTAAAATTAGTAGGTTAAGAGTTTAAAACGTGGTAAGAGTGTGGGAAGGGTATTTAAAACCTTAAAATATAAAAATACTCAAATAAATATAACGTTCTTACTTTGCAGATTTTCACTTATTGCTGGGGGGTAAATAAATGAGGGACTACTGTACAAGCCTTTGTATCGCCCACTGCTGAAAGAAGATGTTTTTGTCTGTTAGCTCATGAACCACAAGATTAAATTTAATGAACCTTTCCAAAAGTAATTCAAGAAACATGAGATAAACAGAAAAAGGTTTGGAAGCTTAATAGTAAACTGGTGAATTAACATCGACTCTGGATGGTTCCTGCAGATTTATTGCAACACGTCATGCTAGCCAGGGGTTTCAGGGAAGATTTTGTAAAAAACTCCATTCTGGGAGTCGTAGAGGCTTTTTAGTAAAAGTTCAGCTGCAAACGTCAGGGCATTCTGCAGACCCACACAAACATTTCCACAAAGGAGAGGCTGAAATAACGTCTTAAAACAAGAATTTGTAAAAGGTTTAGGCTCATAAACAATTCCCAAATTCTTACAGAGTTGTTAAAAAAGGAAGTGAAGCAACTCAAAAGTTAAAATAATAACATTTGAGAAGACTTTAGTCATTCGATTTTGTTTACAATCAACACAGCATCCAAACGTCTTTGGAAATGACGATTCAGTCAAAGTTCAGCCGAGCCTTAAAAACATTTACATTTAAAAAACATAAAGCTCATCGCAGCGCCCCATTACGGCTGATAATTATCATCTGTTGTGTTTATTACCTACATGGTGATAACAAAGGTGTGGCTGTGAGATTGCATGCCACGTTTTATTTGTCAAACTGTAAACAGCCACCCACACCTAAGAGACGACACCACCATCATTAAACAGGTGTGGGGAGAAACAAGCTTTCTGAATACGATTAAAGATTTGTTGGTTTGGTTTGTGCTCGGGTATGACACAGGTGCAGCACATTTCCCACAGCCTGTCCTTCTAGTTTCGTGATGAACTGCCATGACATGTCTGCAGGCAGAGGCGGGCTGGCTGATGTCCAACACATGTGAACCCCTAAAGACACAAAGCAGCTTGTTTGTGTTGAGAGATGACCTCACTTACATCCACATTACACTCGGATTACATCCTAATGTTTGTAAACATCTCTGCAAAGGTGCTGAGAAAACTCCACCTGAATGACACTTTGAAGCCGAGCGTATGATCAGGTCTGTTCTATCAAGTAAACAAATCAGACATCTGACCCCGATAAGACCGACGTGTTGACGGGTCACGCAGCTGCAGAGAAACTCGGGTGAGGCTGTGACTGATGCTCACATATAGACGTGTCCACCTGCTCGGTGATGGCGTGCAGCCTTCTGGTCTCCTCCACCAGCTGGCACCTCTTTGCGATGTTCCGCAGCAGCAGCGGGTATCGGGTTAGCCTGTGCAGCGGCGCCACCAGCAGGTCGCGCAGCAGCAGCCTTCGACACTGTTCGTTCCTCTCACACCACTGAGGAAAAGACAAAAGAGGGGGCAGAGAAATGCGGTGAAAAGATGTCAGAGTAACCTCCTGAAACACGTGACCGTGAGGAGAAGGTAGCACACGGGACATTCCTCGTTGGCAGGACCGACTCTGAGCTAATTGTTTTAAAAGCAGCGTACAGTAGCGGCGTGTCCTCTTTCATACTTGGCACACGTCGCCTGCAGCTTACAGGTACACAGCGTTCTTGTCACCACGAGCTAAAACAAACAAACAGATAAACAGTCTCTTGTACCTTTACGTACGATCCAAAGTCCTCCCTGGACACGAGCTTGTGCAGATAAAGCAGAGCTGAGGAGTAGTTGAGGCAGTACTTCTCCAGACAGTGACATATGCTCTCCTGAAAGGTCTGAAAAAAGAGACGAGCGCTGTTCAAACACTCGGATGCAGATTTATGGTTCACGTCAGATAAACAAATAATAGATCTCAACATGCACGCAAGCAAAGAATAAGCCTTCTGCTGCTTCCTGTGATGCATATCTTAACCGTTTATTCCTTGTGATCATTTATAAAACCTTACAGATGAGATTGTTTAAATGTTTAAAAATCTAAAAACTGAATTGCTGCAGTTTTTAGCACTTATTGGCATATTTCATACATTTTAAACCACCTCATTAGTGCAGCAAAATATAATGTTAACACTGCAACAATATATATTAACACACTTCCAATTAAAGTTTAAAAATCTGAATGAAAAAGAAGGATGGTAGTAATTAAATGTTTAGTACAGGCTGTTGTCACGGAGTTTGACTCATACTTGCCTTGCTCAGCAGCTCCAGCAGAGTGGGCCCGCCACCCTGCGTGATCTCCAGCGTGTCTTTAATGACACGCAGGAGGTTCTTCAGGAAACTGGAACTCACCTGAAGGCAGAAAGCAGGTGTCACCACGAGACGTTCTGCACTTTCAGTTTGTTCACAGCTACCTCTGATTAAAACTGGTATTTCTAGCAGGGATTAAAAAAAATACTTTCCTGTCTGCTTCTTTTAGCTCCTAGTTTTCTAGAACATTTTGCTCAAAGTGTGATTCTGTCAGGTATTTTCTTAAAAACCCAATCTCTTAATTTTTATTGGATAGGACCTAGAAATACCAAACAACAGAGTAACAGGGAAAAATATTACATATAGTTTCACAATTCATTTTATTGTGATAAATAAAATATATACAGTAGTTTAGTCGCAAATGTTACTCTTTTTTGTTTAAGCTAGTGTTTTAAATGTAGTTTTTTTTTTTTTTACTTTTGTATATCTGTTCTGTTTATCTGTTCCCAAACTTCTCTGCTTTTAATCCACAAAATAAAACTTGCAGATCTGAGACCCTGATTAAGTTATTGAAAAAAAAAATTGTACTAAGCCATTAAACAAAGAGCCTTGTTAACATTTATATAAAAACTTTACACATTTATGGACATTATATTTGAAAATGCTAGCAGCAATAATTTTTACAATTTATTTGATTTCCGTAAACCTTTAATAATCCCACACTTGGTGTTTCATGACCCCCAAGGGTGGGTCCAGATCCCAGTTTTAAAAACCACTACGGTAACTTAAATGATACATTAATCTGGTAAAATAGACTTTAAGGGATTGTCCTCTTCAAAATAATCTTTAGGTTTTTGTTGTTTTTACTAGTTTAAATTAAAATGTCTTTTAAAACATGGGCTTTTTATTTTAAGTGTCTGTTTGGGCTGGAATTGGTCAAATTTAATATCAAACCAAATATTATCTTGTGTTTATGAAAGTTGCAGTCGTTTCAAACAATTTCTATTGTGAATATGAAATGAGCAGGCCTCGTGAAGCTTATCTGCATGTTGTCTCACCAGGCAAAGTTCATTCAGGTTTGCAAACAGCCTCCAGGAGTCAACATCAGCCAGGCAGCTCTTCAGCTGCAGGTCTGTGAGCGTCGCCAAAAACACCTGAAAAACAAAACAAAGACTTCAGACACAGAAGGAGCTATTTGTTAAAACCTGGCATTAAATTTCAAACCAGCTGCTGCTCAGAGAGAAAGACCTGGAGACTTTTTCTGTGAACACCAAGGAAAAGAATTCAGCGTGATGCTGAAAATCACAATGCAGCAGGAGTTGGGTTTCATTTGGGCTTGGTCTGTTTGTTTGTGGTCTGTGTGCTTTGTGGGGGCTGTGAATGGACAGTCACCTCTTTGAGAACCATGAGCTGATCCAGGAAGTAAACACACTCGCTGGTGAAGAGTTCCCAGATGGCCTCTTGTCTCTTTCGACCCTGAGGGTCAGAGGTCATGCTCACCTGCTGATCCTGGAGGAACTCGGCCAGACAGAAGTCCTGCACAGACGGACAAAACAACCGTCACAAACCCCTCAGAGAAGCTGCAGCTTCCACCCAAAGTTTCTATACCTCTGACCTTAAATTTCCTTCCATCATGAATCAGATGCAGGCCAGTGTTTGTTTATATACCTAAGATCGGTTGACCTGACTGGCTGTGGCCTAGAAATTCTGGTTTTGCTCAACAGGTGTCATTTCACCTTCGCAGGAGTTTCAACTTCGAGGGTTATCGTTTTAAGTCTCTTGGCAAACACGGAGTTGTATTTGATTTGGAAATCAGGACGTCTTTGTAGTTCAAACTTTGCTTGGATTAGTACTTAGCCTGAACCAACAGGTATATTTAAATATGAAGCAGAGAAGATCTGCAGCAGACACTCGTCACTTCTCACCTTATATTTCTGAAACTCGGTGCCTCTCCAGTCTTGAATCTGCACGGTTAAAAGGCATTTTTCTATATCTGGTACTGCGCCTGTCTGCAGCTTCCCTTTAGTCTGAAATGTTCAAAACACGGAGACAAAAAGCAGTTTTCTGTTATTCTCTTGACCCAAAAAGTGGTTATATGCATGTTTGCCGTTTGGTCCTGGTTCCAGCGTGCACCAGCATCAGTCTCCAGAACTGAACGAACAAGTCTGGCTCAGGTTCTGCATTTCAAGTCTTTATTTGTTACAAAAACTGTTCAGCCCAAAAGGGATAAGAGAAACACACTAATCTGCTTTGAGAAGTGGGTCAGAGGACAAAGTCCACACCAACTGCCCAGTTTTATAACAAAACAAACCACAAACACGTCGCTGGCACCACTCAGGCATGCCTACCACTCACCGTACTGCGCCTCAGGAAGGGCCACTTTGATTTCTTTGTATCTGTAGAACACAAAGCACACATTATAATAATTAAATATATATTTCTGTACATTAACAGAATCAAACGTCGGATGTTTTGGACACAATCTGGCTTAAAAACTATATAGTAAAAATGCTGTTTCTTTTTTTTAATAAATAGTTTACAAAAACTAATTGAACACATTTTATTTTGTGAATTCATTATAAATTGAATCTTTTAGCCCTCTGTTCAAACAACAACAAAAAAAGCTTTTCAAAGTGAAGTCTATTCACTTTTAGGTGTAAATTTCCAACATCGCTGATATAAATATCTGCATTCTGAATTAATTTCTTCAGAAACTTTATTTTGGAGGATTTTGTTGATCAAATTTAAATCCAAAGCAGTATTCAGACAAACGTTCTGTGAGGTTTATAGAAATAAAGGCTAAGCCTCTTGAACAAACTTATTTGAAGCAACTTTCACTCAGGTTTACTAAAGTAAACCATGTTAATACTCTGTTGGCCTTTAAAAGGTTAAAGGTTAAGCCTTGAACATTATTACCGTTTATACAAGCAACAAAACTATAAATCTACTTTATATAGTCTCTCCATCTGGTGTTGGGTTGAAGCCTTTCCTGAAAGATAAGTTAGATCCTGAAAAAGTCTCCATCACGTCTGTCATAACTGTTTCTACAAGAATTGCTTATAGAAAGTTCTTCAAAGACTCTTAAAGTTTGGTTTTTGTTTTTGAAATAAACTCTTGTTGTTTGGCTCCTAATAACAGTAAACAGGAGTAGATACAGTCAAGCTGTTTGCATTCATCAGCTGAAACTATTAACATGGTGACTCATACAGACGTGTACACAGAGGTCATTTCAGTTCAGAAAATGAAAAGGAAAACTGTCTTAAAGTGATAGTTCAAATCTTTTGAAGTGGAGTTCTGAGGAACAGTTAACATCTTACCTGCTGTGGACAGTTGCTTGAACGAGCGCAGACTGGAGATACCGAGCTAATGGCTAATTTGAGCGAGACCAAAGTAGGAGCTAATACTTTAAAACAAATCTCATCTGAAACATTTCAAAAAGGTTCATGGAAATGCTATTATGTAAACCTTTATGATGCAGTTAGTTTCACATTACATGGCCGAATTATTTTTATTTTCCTGCTGGAATCACACAATTGATTGTAAATAACTATGTAATGTCAAACTGACAAGCATGCAAAAGATATTTAAAACAGCATTTGCATGAACGGTTGGATTTGTTTCAAGATGGCTGCAATTCAGTTCGATTTAGTCAAAACACTGAACAGCAATTAGCTCGACTACCGGGTATCTGGTCAGAAATAAACTCTGTTTCTCCAAACAGAGGCTGTTCAAGGTATAGATAGATGGGCCTGTCACAATAAACTATAAATAAATTAATTGCATGATAAATTAAAATTATCGACCACATTTTCATTTATCGGCTTTATCGTTTCTTCGTGTCTCTCTTTCTGCTGAAGACACTGGATGACAAAAGGCTCTGGTCTGGTGCTCGTCAATGACCCCTTCCTTTCTCTTTTCTCTTTAAAATCCAGTTTAACCGTCCAAAATCACATTTTTGAACTTTTAAAAGCAGCTAAGCTGAGAAGCTAAGCTACGAGCTAAGCTAACAGGACGACCTCGAGGGAAAAAAAACTGTCTAGTCGAAGCTCCAACATTCACAGTTGAAACCCATGCCTTAGTCTAAAAAGTTGTTTTCTCTGCAAAAAGAAGCTGAGAACTTGTTTACTGAGTTTTATTAAAAGCTTTGTGTGAAAAATGCTATGCTAAAGAGCTCAAACCACACCAAGCATCCGCCATTTTGAGAACCAGAAAAAAAAGGAAGAGACAGCCCATGTCACACCCAGGGGCCTCCCTCCCATTTTTCTTATAGAGACACACTGCTTGCTCCCTCACTATCCATCCTTTAGTTTAAACAGTCTTATACTGCCATCTGGTGGTCAAAAAAGGTACTAAGGAAATTTGAAATTGGGCAATGATTAGTAATTATTGTCAAACAATATTATTGTTTATCGCAATAATTTCTGAGACAATTAACGGCCCAGCAGAATTTGTTATCATGACAGGCCTATTCAAGGAACCATCTACAACAATAACACATTAACTTCACAGAATCTTTCGTCAGAACCTCATTTCTAAAGCTCTGAACCATCGCTCACATAATATAAATGGAGTTTTACCAGAAAGGTTCGAATCGTTTATCATGTCAGCTGCTCCGTTGGACACAAAAAGGTCTCCTGGTGAAACATTTGATCCAGGTAAACTGACCACCACTGAGCTCCGCCTCCTCTCATGAAGCCTGAAACAGAAACATGATGGTTCAGTTCTTTGAACAGTTGCACCCAACAACTCGTTTGATATCTGGATCACTGTGACGAAGACCGTTCTCCTGTGGAGAATGTGAAACATCGACCAGGGAGCAGACTTTGTGCAAGAATAACAGAATTCCTTTCGTCGTTTAACGTAGCTGAAATACCACCTGCACTGAGCAGAGATGCTTGGGACGAACACGAGAAGAACATGTTATGAAAGCTAAGCGTTGCGTGTCGGGCTCATGCGTTGGGACGGCTGCTGATTACTGGAAGGAGACAATCAGTCAATGTGTGCCAGTTATAATCCGCTCGGTCTCCTTTTCATAGTTCGTAACTGAGGCTTAGGCTGGAAAAACACAGACCTGCCTTTTAGCCTTGGGCAAAGCTCACACAGCCGCCGCTCTCAAGCGTTTTGACTTATCCTCTGTTGCTGTACATTAGGGATTAACACGGAGTAAAAACGGACTTTCACATGCTAAAATTAACTGAAAATCTTAAGAATGTGATTATGTTATGAAGAGCTGCATTAAAATATCTATAAGGGGTATGGCTAGGTGATGTTGCCAGGAATTATAAAGAATTAAGTCTACACCTAGAAAAACTTGATCTGTGACAGTCCAAACGGTGCCAAGGCTAACGAGACAAGCAGCCATTTAGTGTGAATGCTGTCTGTTAAACGCAGGCGCTCCGCAACAAGACGGGCTGGTTTTGCTGAAAGTGAGCCTCCCTTTGAACTCGTTAAAACACTCATCAACAGCCAGTCAGTGACGAATGACGAGCAACGATGCTTTGAGGTTTCACTTTTATTATTTAAGGGCCTCTAAAAGAGGATCTAAAAGCTTAGAGGAAGAACAAAAATAAACGGATAAACTACAGCACAAAACCTGACCCACTGCATACATCCTCATTCAGTCATGGAGGACCAACTTAATGACTAGAATGCAGAAGTTGGTGCAAGAGGAACCGTTTAGGTCCGGGTTTGATAATGTCAACTATTATATGTTAAATCTTTGCCTGTCTGAAAGAGCAGACTTACTTCCTCTTACATAACTCATACAGGAGCTGCATTCTTGATGTACCTGCGCAGTTGCACAAGCAGCACTGTGTTGAGGATGGAAGCCACATGGCTGCAGGGCTCACTTGTACACTTGAAGGGAAGCTCAGTCTGCTGCTGAACATAAGTAACCTGGTACGTTTTTCCTTCATGGTGCTTTTGTTAAAATCTGAAAGCCCCAACTGTTCCTTCCTCTCTCTGGCAGTGCTCTTCCCAGAAAACTGATAAAACCTCCAGCTCAGTGCAAGCACAGCACAGCAGATAATAGCTGGCACCGGCACCTGTGCACTGTTGTAGCTGATGGGGCTGCAAGAAAGGCACGATTACGTCTCAAAACCAGGTCAGTGCCTCCTTGCAGTTCGTTCCACAGCATCCTCACAATGGCGTCCTGTTGCTTTGTGATCATGCAGAAAGCTTCCTCTGTACCAGCCTCTCTGCCACCAAGAGCACTTGTTGATAAAATGGCAGCTTTGTTCCAACACGACAAGAAATAACAACGTTCCAAAACAAAACCGCTTGCAACGGGCTGGACACTGCAGCAGGCACGATGCCAGGGTGTAATTAATGGGACAAAAGCTGCCTAATTATCTAGTGAGGGGAAGAGCCTCGCCGCCCATTAGGAGGGGCGTTGGTGGCGGTAAGGGAAAACAGCTCTAATGAGGGTTTGTCTAGCCCCAATATAACCATGGGACTCTCAAAACTTTACCCACCATGCTTATGAAGCATTAACAAAGACATGAATGACAATGAATGGACAAAGGGGCTCTGAAAGCTAAAGGTCCAATCAGCGTCGAAGGATTAAGTCAAAGGCACTTTGATGTGGTGTTCCTCGGTCTTTTTTGTGATGAAGCATGATTTATCAAACAGCACAGCTTCATTATGAAAGCAGGCAATGGATCAACTAACATACGACAGAAAGCGTCATCCTGGGTACAGAAAATTTTACTACATTCCTGATAAGCAAATATGTCCACACATATTTTTAGCTGCAATTCTCTGCTCCCATATGTGGACAAGACACCAAGACAACATGCAAAAATAGGAGTTCAGTGAAAGTCCAAGGTACGGTGCACCTACCTGCCGTCACCGTTGTCAGACTCCTGTAAAGGAAAGAAAACTCTTGTTAGTGCTATTAGTTTTCCAAAGCAATATTTGCACAATGCTCTACATTAGCTGATGATGCAAAGACCTCCTTCCACTAACAACACCACTATATCATTTTCAAAGACATTCAAATTTGTATCAGTGTTTAAAGTGGTCGTTCTCATTCAAAAGCCTCTGATATTGGGGGAGAATGCCCTCACTCTATTGAATATGCGCTTGCTTGAAGCACACAAGCTGATGAATAGATCTCCCCATTATCTTTTTCCAATCGCTCACTGACCCCTCCATTATTGGGTGACTGCTGACTGCGATGAATGGGGGCCCGAGGAGAGCACTTCCCAGGGCTCATGGGGCTGTGGGTTTGGTCAGAGCTGTCAGTGCGTGTAACTGCTGATTCATTTGCTGTCAAAAGCTCGCATTGTGAGTGACCGCTGCGGGAGGCAAGGCCGAATGAGGGAGACAAGGCTTCCGCAAGGAAGGAATGTCCACCCATTTAATTTATTAAAGGCCGTGGATGAAAATCCAATGAGCTACAGAAATAATAGACTCGTGACTGTGAGAGGCAGTTTGAGATTAGGAAAACTGATTTTACATCATTTTATATACAATTAAAGGCCTTGCTTCTTGTGAAGAAATTGCCTGCCGCCATGCATGCTAAAATTTAAGACTAAGATAATCTCATGTCATCCTTAAAGACTGACATTCATTTCGCTCTCCTCTTTTAAACAATGATATAGAACCACGAGGAAAAGATCACTGTACCTGTTTTTAGTTTTACAAACCCTGTTGTTTTTAGTTTTCCCATGATCTTCTACATGTTGTACATTTTGTTTAAAAAAAAAGTTAATTTATGCCGTTTGTTTGGCATTTTTATGCTTTTATCATTGTTGTTTTGTGTCTACCAGTGTTTCTGCCTCCTGGCCAGGTCGTCTTTGTAAATGGGAACTGGTTCTCAACTGACTCACCTGGTAAAATAATGACAATTATTTTAACATTATTATTATTAAGCTGAAAAATTATGGTAGTTATTATCATTTGGGTAACCCTTGAAAATAACATTGTGCACTATCTAACATGAACTGTTGGTAGTTAAAGCAGGGCTATTAATCTGGTGACCCGTGGGCCAAATCAGGCTCATGGGTGAGCTCAGATAGGACCACCAACGGGTTCATTTTTAAATAAAACTAGATTTTAAACTGTAAAACAAATTTCCTTAATGACAATAACTGCTGGATGTCTGTCCCCTGAGCTCTTGGCTTTCAGTAACTGACCTGGAGCAATTTAGTTGAATAGCCCTGAGTTAAAGTATCTGTTGTGAATGACTCTCGGCTACTACCACACCAAACTTTAGCTCAGTAAAGTCCAGCTGTGTAGGCTAATTTTGATCAGGATTGGTTTGATTCTAAAACAGCTGTAGATGTGAAGCCAATGAATTCTGAATGTTTGAGTAAAATCTGTCCACTCTTTCTTGAGATATTTTGCTAACAGTAGCAACACTTGAACACACACACACACACACAGATATCACAGATATGGGCAAAAACATCACTGCGCCGCCCGCAGGTAATAAAAATAGTTTCAATAAATTTAAAATAGAAATGTGCTCACCTGTACTTCATCAGAAAATCCAGCGTTTTTAAAAAGAGCAAGATGAGCGCTGTGACATTGTTGTTTTGTGGGACTCATCCCGAGGTCAAACGTCTTCGATCCATGCGATACGATTCTCTGCGAACCTGGTTGATGAGTTGGAGAGCTCTCTCCATCAGTGACGGGGTTTGCAGCGAGAGGAGACGTGACTCTGTGCGTAGGAGAGAGGGGGCTTTTGGGGGAAGTTGTACTTGGGGATGAAGGCTCCTCCTGAGTGCTCTCCATCACGCCAGGGTCTCGAGAACTTATCACTGAACGTCGCGTGCTCCTCATCCTCCTCAGGGTCGGAGATGTGGAGATCCGCCCGGGAGCTTGGCGGTCAAACTGGAAGAAAGGTGCTGCCAAACCATCGATGTCCACCAGGGACGAATGCCTCGACTTGGAGTGAGTCCTTTTGAGATCTATGTGCATCAAGACCGGGCTGCACGTCTGGATTTCCTTGTGCTCAAAAGGCCATGAGTCTGTTTGCGTTTGGGCGTCCACCAGACCTGTCGTGACAACTTCATTTTCAGCCCATTCAATGTAAGTCCAGTCCAGCTTCCTTTCTTTGTCCTGGTCTTTGTCCTGCAGAATAACGTGCTTCAGCGTAGTCATTGTAACCTCGAAGGCATTATTATCGTGCAGCGGAGATCAGGAAACAGGTAATCTTACAGGCTGATAGCTTCACCTCATTCAGGTTAACGTCAGATAATAATCCTGCTGCATTCCACTCTCGCACACCGTTTACTTTCCAAAGTTTCTGAGGAGGGGAAAAAAAATGAAAACATATAAAACTACGTAAACAGTCGGAGCGAGGAACAAACTTACAGTAACGTGCAAAAGTTTTGAATCAAGGAGCCAGACTTTCTTGTAATCTCTTCAAGTGGTCTTGAACATTTCTGCTCCGTCACTTGTCTTCATCATTTTCAAAGATTGTTTTTTGTTTGTTTATTAAACTATAATCTATAAATTATTCAGGCAGAAACATTTCCTTAACAGAAAGAACAAAACCATGCTGTGTTGACATAATATTGCCTACAACCAAAAGGCAAATGATGATGTTTTTGCCCATGTGTGCTTCTGTCTGTTACCAAAATACCTCAAGAACCTGCAGACAATGTTTAAAGGATTTTGCAGAAAGCGATCACCGGATGCACATCTGCTGACAACCATTTGAAGTTTATCCAATTTAAGGCAGTTACCTCAGCTAATCCACATTAGCCAACACAAAAACATCTGTAACGCAGTCAGTTTCAAAGATGACAAGCTAAAGTTTGATGTAGTCGTAGCCGAGAGTCATTCACAACACATACTCTGAGCAAGACTGGCAGTATCATACGAGGTTTTATTATTATTTTTAAAGTTTAACCAAAATGGCTACAGCTCCATTCCTCAAAGTAATTTGATCTTAGTCCGGACCTTATTGGCTTGATATGCATTCCTTCAAAAAAAAAAAAAAAAAAAGCTAGATATATAAAATAAGACTACTTTAAATGGGCATATTTTTGGGCCCTGCCATAAAGAGAATGTGTTCCTATTTCTTTAGGTGAATAAATAGCAACTGTAACGCAGTGTGACCTAAAATAGTATTTTAACATAAGCAGCAACACGGCAACTCCTAAAAACTTACTGGCTGGAAGCCTGACAGACAGGATTCTGTGTCAGGAAAATATCCAGCAAAGACGTACCTCCTGATGGTATGACTTCCAGATATTGTTCATTGGCTGTAGATATGTTTTAGGCCTGACACTTTTTCAATTTAACTTATGATTATATATATAAATAATTGAAGCTCACACTGTCCCACATGCTGTCATGGTCAAGTACAGAGCAAAAAAAAAGTTTTAAAAAATAGAAAGAAAGACTTTTAAATGTCTTCAGAAAGTCAGAGATGTTGCTCAAGACAAGTCATGTTGTCAAAGACACAGCCTTTCCCATATTAATTCATTTATAGCAGGTTTAAAACTTTTGTCCAGTTCTAAATTGTATAAAAGGAGGTTTGTTCAGGGCTGACATGGCACAAGAGAAAAAGTCTAAATATCCATCATGTGACTAAAAGTAAACGTCAGAAAACTGTATGAGATGCTACACAACACTTGTAGGAGTAAATAATCACATTATTTCAGCCCTCCTGTTTCAGTTACCAGTCTCTGTGGATTCAAAAACACACAAATGTAGTTAAATAAATTGTTGCTGTTTTTATCCCCTGCTGTGTCAGGTGCATTTCATTTATTTAACGCGCGTGCTTCGACTCGGCACCTGAATTAACAAAGAAAACGGTGACAAATATATATAAAAAAACATCGACTGAAACTATACCCGCTTTAGGATAAACATTAAATAAATTAATTAACAACCTTTTGGTTTTGGTGACATCCACCGCTGCTCCGCGTCGACTCCACACCGGCGGCCGTTCAAGGTGAAGTTTGACCGGGGAAAACTCGGCAGAAACGGTCGGAGGTTTGAAAAAAAAAGCGCGGCAGACTGGAGGGTAAAACTCCGGAGGAAGTTTAAAATGTGTTTAACTCTCGAAAAATGCGAGAGAAGGAGAGGAATGAGAGCTTCATCTTGTCCCGGGAGCTGGTGGAAAGAGGTGCAACTGACTGTTGAGCTGTATGCGAACATCATCTCCACTCGCGTGCCCCCCCTCACGTACAACCAACGTCATCACGCAGGCCTATTACGTCACACGCAACCCCAAACTATAGACTGAGTTTAAATTTACTTCACTTGTTTTGTTTTTAACACAAGTTATCTCTTTGGGAGCCGAGGTCTCATGGTGACTTGCTTTAAGTGAAAATTAAATAATTTAGTTTTGTGATAATCACAGTTACTTCAGTGCATACCGTGTTCAAAAAGAAGTTCAAGTTCATGTCTTTATTGTCATTCACATCTCATGTGGTACATGAGGTGGAACGAAACAGCCCAAAATAGCAAAAATACAAAGTATTAAAAGAAACAGTATATAAGGATCTAAGATATACACTAGGGTATATGCTAAACAAATGCTAAACAATACGCTAAAACATATGTGTCAAACTCAAGGCCCTGGGGCCAAATGTGGCCCTCCTTAACATCTTATCTGGCCCCCAAGATGTTATTTTAAATGTATATCACTTTATTTTTTTCAGTAATCTTTGATTATGATGTCAAAAATACAACAGAAAACGTCAAATGAGACCAATCAAAGTCTTGTTGAGGAACCTGCAATCAAGAAAAGATGCTGGGTATGTAACTTGAGTTAATGTAGATTTTGAAACCGGCCCTTAGTTTGAAAAAGGTTTTAATTTTGGTCCCCTTTTGTAAGTGGGTTTGACACCCGTGCGCTAAAAGATCTAAGATATACGCTAAACACTAATAATGTAAAATAATACGGTATATTAAAAAGCAGCCCGAACATGAGTCTGTAGTGAGTAGATGGGTATGAATGAATCCAGCAGCATGAGATCAGCAGCATGGATAATCAGCAGCAGATTAGTCACATATTAACAATTAAAGTGGCATTACAGTGATTTTTCTTTCTTTCTTTTTTACAGTGATTATCCTGGTTAGGGATTTATGAGTCAAACAGTTTCAGGGTAGAAGCTGTTCCTCAGTCTAGTGGTTCTACATTTAATGCTACGCAGCCTTCTGCCTGATGGGAGCGGGGCAAAGAGTGTGTGCGCTGGGTGAGTGGGGTCCTTCATGATGCAGGTGGCCCTCTTCCTGCATCTGGAGGTGTAGATGTCTGTGATAGTGGGGAGGCTGACTCCAACAGTCTTCTCCAAATGTATCACATAAACAGCACAAATTAATTTTTTAAAACATGTAAGACACACATTTTAAATGCTGCCGTTTTTGCTGACCCTTTAGTTAATCAGTTTTGTGTCTTGTTAAATTTAGGGTAGATAGAAATTCACACAAGGGTCATATTGCCTTTAGCGTCTCTCCATTGTTGCCCTGTAACTCAGAATACAATTTAAAATATTTTTTCTAACATACAAAGCTCTCAACAGCTCCATGGTGCATTAATGATCTTATTGTTCTATATTTTCCCAACAGAGCACTTTACTTTCTGAATGGAGGTTTATTTGTGGTTCCTAGAGTTTCTAAAACTAGAATGGGAGGCAGAGCATGAGCATTCAGTGTTTGTTTGTGAGGCTGACACTTGGCTTTAAGCCGAAGACCTTTTGTTTTAATAAATCCCATAGTTAGGGTTGGATTGGGTTTCCTGAGCTATCCCTTAGTTATGCTGCTATTAGGCTTAGATGGCTGGAGGACAAACTGACCACATCTCCTCACTCTGCTGCTGTCTTTACAAATGCTATTTTCCTTTATTATTATTATTATTATTATTATTATTATTATTATTATTATTATTAT